AAAAAAAAAAAATCTGATAAAGGAACCAAGGGTAAATTACTATAATTTGATGAAACTGACCTGTACTCTTAGAGATAGTAACTCTAAATACCAACAGATAGGGAAGGAGTCTTCACATCAAGTGTCAATGCTATCACCTCTGTATACAGGGTAGATAGGGATGGGCAATTTAAACATTGTCTACCTAAAATCAGGGGGCAATAAAGGCACTAAGTGACTGGCTTACAAGGTTTCAAGAGGGAGCTTAGTTTAAGAGTATGGGGGGAAAGAAAGAGTCCCCACTGAATAGTTTTCATCTTGTCTAGATGGGTTTGGTGAAAAGAGACGGGGATAAGATTTGTTTGACTCAATAGTCAATAATTGTTATCATGACTAATTATGACTGTCACAATTGCAAATGTAGAAGGTTTGCAACAAAACAGGGGAATACTTTATGTTCCAGTCCAGAAACAGAGAACCGTAGGAAACCTCAAGGGAGAAGAGAACAAGCAGAATGCGGGTCCTTATCCAGAGAAGCAGAGATGCCAGAGATGGAGGCAGAGATAGGGTCATGGAGAGGTCCTGGGAGCATCTGAGGATTCTAGATTCATGGAAGGAGAGGGACTAAACGCTGATGACCAGGAGGCAGACTTGCAGAATGTGCCCGTTAGAGGTGTAAATTATATATGCTTGAGTGTTGTTTTATTTTTTTTTAAAGCTAAAGTGAATTTATATATGCCTGAGTGTTGTTTTATTTATTTATTTTAAAGCAAAAGTGAATAGAGAGAAATACTGTTTATCTGATGGTACATGGAGGGGGTTATCAGCATTGTAATGAAACAAGGTGTATGATTTGTTGAATGTCCAATTGATGATCTGCCCTGTAAACTTTTACTCAATCCACAAAAAAACCTTAAAGTAAATAAATAAATTAAAAAACAAAACAAAACACAACAAAAACCTTACAAGGGCTGACCACCTTAGCTAATGAACTCACTGAAAATTCAGGCATAGATGACCCCTTTTCTA